GTATGGTATGTATGAATGTATGTATGTATGTATGTATGTATGTATGTAAGTATGTATGTATGTATGTATGTATATATGTATGTATGTATGTATGTATGTATGTATGTTTGTATGTATGTATATATGTATGTATGTATGTATGTATGTATGTATGTATGTATGTATGTATGTATGTATGTATGTATGTATGTATGTATGTAAGTATGTATGTATGTAAGTATGTTTATATATATATATATATATTCAAATGTATGTACGTATATTTATATATATATAGGGGTGTGTGTGTGTGTTCAATTATGATTATGTATGCATTAGATAGTGCGTTTTAGTAAGCGTTCATTTCGTGCGTACGTGTACATGTACATGTGTGTGTATGTGTTCGTGTGCGTGTGTGTGCTCGTGACCTGGATGCAGTTGCAGGCAAAGTGGAACACAAAATGTAAAGTATATGCATATACATGATACAATGTAAAGTTAGAATCCGCACACAAGGATTAATTATTGACATTAATTTACCATGTATACGACAAAAACGATCCTACAATAACCATCAGGTACATACGTTTGAAGAGCTGCCTTGAACACTCGGGGTACGGGAGGCTTGGGATTGATAAGACGTCCGTCTTGATGCGTCGTCGCCCATTTTTAAAACTATCGATTGTATATTCTATTTAGGTGTGTGTTGTGTACATCTACATGTACATGTGTATACGTATGTCTGTGTGCGCTATATAGCAACGTTAATTATTCTTTGTGACAGTGGTGAACAATGTATAAATACATGGGGATTGCATGAGCGTTCACGAAACTACGTGACTTTTAAATTTATTAAAACGATACCACTTGTTTATGACGATAAGGTCTTCATTTATTTTATTTTTAAATATTTCTTATTAGCGAATGGATTTCGAGTATCCGGATATGGATAAATATATAAAAAGGCGCCACCTGTATGTATCTATGCGCCCTCTCATGCACGAAAGTCATAGACTCATAGAGTCACTCTGCCATCACTCATCAGTCATAGTCGTATGTAAATATTTCCCGTGTTGAGTATACTGCCGTGCTTGAAGCATATATAATTACTTGCAAGATAAAAACAATTGTGTGTAAATGGTTGAAGGAATTTTTACGACTCTCGTGTAAGAACACAAAAGGCCTTAGATACGTAAACACTTACTAGACACTAATTCTTTATTAAGAAATATATATATACTTATGCATATTACTTGCCTGACTGCTGTAGCCTAACTCTGCCAGCCCGTAAGTTTACACCCAGGTCAGTTTTTGTACGTGTAGATTGTTTTGTACGCATCTTGCAACACTAAAACGAATACATGAACCAAAACAGGCTCACCAGTGACATTGACAACCAACGCCCAAATAAAAAGACGTCTATATCAACAAGCGGATATAGCGCACAAGCTAGCACGTGAAGTCAACCGCGAGCTGATACTATTCATAATCAACCACATTAATTCAGCATTAAATCTACAACAAATATACATACGCAATCACAACAATTTAGTATTAATTCTACACTGTCATTGTTCGATCACGTTTTAAAGTATGGGTTACCAACGTCCTCTAAAGGTGTACGACGACTACATCCTCCTCAAGGATTGTGGTGGTGATCCGGAGTTGGTTAAGCTGTGGAAAGAGGGGCGGAGGATTGCGGGTATTCTAGACAAACTACCGTATAGCTATACTTTAAAAGAAGCTAAAGGTAAACAAAAGCGAGGCTGTTCTGTATGTCGTACCTGTGATTTTGGTGCCTATTATGTTACTAATGGTAAGGTAGATAGGCCGGAAAACGTTTGCGTGGGCTGCTTTGACAAGTGGGTGGCTAACAAGCCATGGTACAGTACTTCAGTGTCGTCGTTCGATAGCGACTCTACGGACTACTACGAGAGTGAATCAGATGCAGAAGTAGACGCAGATGTAGATGCAGATGTCCATTCGGAGGATGTCCCTGTGGGTGCAAAGGCAATATCAGAGGGAAAGGATGAGAGCAAAGTGGAAGCAGAGGAAACGGACAAGAAAATAGAGGGTGGGGAGTTGAATGAAAAGGCAGGGGTTGCGCACGCCGACGAAGTGATTGCAAACACAGCGGATAAAGATGAGAAAGCCAAAGATAAGGATGCAGGAACAGGGACAGTGGCTATTAATTCAACTACAGAGACTGCGAAACCAGGGGAATTGGATGTGAACGCAGTAGGCGGCGATGGGGAAACGGAGGGGGCTTTGAAGAGCGTCGATGCCACGGCAGCGCCAGACCTCGAACGGCAACGACTCGCGCCAAATACACCGGACGACACACCCACTGAGACCTCTGCGGTCAAAGAGAATGGTCACACGGTTGAATAAGAACCGGTGTTAGAAGTACATGGGGTTGTCATGACAACGTAACTTAGTGCTGTGACAAAAGTAAGATCACAGCCGGCCCACACTGAAGCCAACTCGACACGGGCACTCACTGCCATCACCGAAAACGCACGTGTTGAGTTCTTGTGATCCCCGACACAGTGATTATCACTGCCGAGGCCTCGGTGGCGTACGCGCAGTGGGTTCTAATTAGAACAATCCCAGCGTCATCGCTTGGTGCGTGCAACTTGTGCAGAGGTTCTCAACACACTCAAGCAAGTAGTACAGTTGCAGGCGTACCACTTCCATGCATCACTAAGCGAGAAGACATATCACGCTTGTGTTGCAATTCAGACCGAATGTCTCTGAAAGCAACGACAATTTGCGAGGAGGAGAAGAGAATCACAATTTGTATACACAAGCACATGACTATTCAAATACATACTCAATACTATTTACTGTTCGTGAACTGCACGGAGTTTCTCGAGTATGAGTTCATAAATACAGTGGTACATACATAATGTGAAACTCTAATCAAAATGTAAGCACAGTAATACAGGACCATGATATGAGAGACCAATGTCTATTGAGTATTTAACCTGTACGGTACGAAACACATACGAATACGTATGTTTAAGTGTATATGGGCGCACACACTTACATTTCTCTTTATATATATATATATATATATATATATAAGTCTGTGTCTGTGTCTGTGTCTGTGTCTTATAATTATTTAATATAATATATATAT